GACTTTGGATAAGCCTATTCAAATTCTCATAAATTTAAATTCTACTACAGCCATAATTGAGGATTTTTAACACCAAGCTGTCAAGATTTAGGGTTTTACCCTACTTGGCAGCTAGTAAATTAGCCTGTTAATGTTTCATAGTTGCTGCCCAATGACACAAGATCCTGCATCAGAGACAGGACCTTATCACCCCTGGCATAGCCAGCAGCATGAGCATGATGTTTGCGTTGGTTCCCCATACCTCCCAAGTCCCACCAGAGGTGATGTGGAGGGACCAGGTGGATGCTGTGCACACCATGGGTTTGCAACATAGCCAAAGAACACTGAGTTTGGGGGATCCACTTTTATAGCAAGCCTGTTCTTGGTCCCACAGGGAGACTCCCACTTTCAAGGATGCCTTCTGCAAACACAACCCTGAGAAATGGCCTGGGTGAAGAACAGTCAGGGCCCTGCATTCCTGGCCTACTCAAAAGCCCGTGCGGGGACACTCAGGGCCTCTGTTGGATTGCTTCTATCCACACCAACTCACAAAGTTGTGGGGGTTAATTGAGGACAGTCAGTGACTGTGTGGAAGGCACTTAGCAGAGTCCCTGACACATAGTAAACCTTATCAGAGAAGGTGACTTGAGCTCTCTCCAAAAAGCCTCAGAACTCACCCCAGGGAAAAAGTGAGACAAAGGGTCACTAGTCAGAGGAAGTAATATTTACTCAGATAGGAGATTGACATAGAAGGGTCTAAAAAGTACTGAGCACTGCTAGATCAAAGGAAGCAGAGAGGAGCTGTGGATCAGTCTATGTTAGAAAACCCACTGTCTACCAGCCCATTCCTACCCTCCACACACATGACAAACCCCACTATCCAAACGCGCACATGCGGATGAGAGTGGCCAGAAGATCTGGCAAGTAATTCAGACTCAAGGTATACGTTAGCTAGAGGGAAAAAGGAGTGAATTTACTTATAGACTAGGATTACCTGCATGTGTATTTAGGAAGGTGGGCCAACCTCCATCCAACTGTCTTGTCTAAGTTCCTCAGGCCCCTAAGCCTGGTGTAGTTCTGTGATGTAAAGTGTGTTGCATTGTAATGAATGAGGGGAGGATGTTAAAATGCATGACAGGTATATATAATCATATTTCATCAATTCTAAGATGCATGGGTTTTTACATTTTAATAATTCTGAAATAAGGTGTAGTTTAGAATTGATGAGTCAAAATGAGGTCATTTCCTGTGGGTCATAAACACAAAGCCAGCATCAAATGTAAAATCATGACAATTTTACTGTGTTCAAGTCTCATTTTATGTAAAGGGAGAGCAGCAAAAGGAGTTAAAAGAACGGTGCCTGGTAGTGCGGCGGAGAAGGGAAGAGAATAGTGTGCTGATGGCTGAGTAGCCACATGTCTGAGAGGGTAACTCTGATTGGCTGGAAAGTAGGCATGCAGCCAGAAGTTTCTCCAACTTTTTATTTTGAACTTTTTCAAACTTACAGTGATGTTGAAAGAATAATGCAGTAAACCTCATCATACCCCTTGCCTGGATTCCCCAATTTTTAAGATTTGGCCTGACCTGCATTCTCTCTCACAACATGTGTGTACAAGTTCGTGTAATAGTATATAGATGTGTAAAATATATTCCTTTGAGTACAGTCATGCATTGCTTAATGGCAGGAATACGTTCTGAGAAATGTGTCATTAGGCAATTTCGTTGTTATGCGAACAACACACAGTATACAAACCTAGATGGTATAACCTACTACACAGCTGAGCTATATAGTACTAATCTTATGGGACCACCATCGTATATGCAGGCTGTCGTTGAGTGAAACGTTGTTATGCAGTGCATGACTGTAGTTTAAAAAGACGTTACAGACATCGTGTCACTTTTCTTTCTTTTTTTTAATAATAACTTCTCTGCATCTATATATTTTTTTTTGAGGAAGATTGGCCCTGAGCTAGCATCTATTGCCAATCTTCCTCTTTTTCTTTTTTTCTCCCAAAGTCCCAGTACATAGCTGTATATCCTAGTTGTAAGTCCTTCTAGTTCTACCATGTGGGACTCTGCCTCAGCATGGCTTGATGAGTGGTGCATAGTTCTGCAACCCAGGATCTGAACTGGTGAACCTCAGACCGCCGAAGGGGAACTCACAAACTTTACCCCTACGCCACCAGGCCGGCCCGACTGCTTTTCTTTCTGACCCCTAATATATTGAGATATCACATGTTACATTTGGTTGTCTCTTCTCTTTAGTCTCTTGTAATGTTGAACAGTCTCCCATCTTTTATATAACATTGGTATTTGTTAATATTTGTGGTTTTTTTAGGGCTTAATCATTTGTGTGTGTGTTGTTCACTTTTTTATAAAAAGTCCTTATTGAAATTCTACATGCCAATGGACAAGGTAGACTAAGAACCTACTTATCTTATTCACTATTTAAAGCCAAAAGAGAAACTAATCAACAGACAAATATATGAAGACAATTTCAGATTATGATTGCATTCTATGAAAGAAAATAGAAAAGAGAGGAGATAACAAGAGTGTACGGGGAGAGGAAAGCAGTCAAACTGGGTGAATAGAAACTATTTCCCTGAAGAGGTAGCATTTGAGAAAGAAGACCTGAAGAAAAAGACAGAGATTCCTAGAGAGAATGCTCACCTCCATAGCAATGACCTCAGTGTGTTCAACCAAAACAAGTTGTCACTGCAGTGCGCCAAGGAAGAAAGAATGATAGGAGTCAAGCTCAGAGTGACAAGTATGGGTCAGTATTTAACAGTGTTTTGTACACCCTGTTGAGGAATTGAGGATTTAAAGTGCACTCAGACACTGGAGGGTTTTAAACACTGGAAAGAGATGTTATGAGTTTCTATTTTCCATAGAAAAGTTTGACTACTGAATGGTGAATGGATGCAAGGGAGCGAGAGTGAAAGCCGGCTGACCGCTTAAAGGGTGGTACCATAATCTAGCTGAAAGCTGATGGTGGCTTGGTCTAGGTTAAACGTCTACACTGGGTCCGTATATCTAACAAGATGACAGACTGCCCAAATGTACGGTAAAATCAATGAGTAGAAAAGGCAAGGGACATAAGAGATTAATCCAGTGTATCCAACGCTCTACAAAATGAACTACACCATTTCCCTTTGAGTTAAACATTTGGATGAGCCTGAACGTGATTTTTCTAAAACTTGAATATTTTGAAATAGTCATAGATTCACAGGAACTTTGAAAGATAGTGCAGAAAAGTCCTGTCATTCATATTCTCAAGTTTCTTAACAATACTATATCAAAACTAGGAATTTGTTATTGGTCAAGTGATTATGTATAGTTCTGTGCCACTTACCACATGTAGATTCACATAGCCGCCACCAACATGAAGTTACGGAACTATTCCATTACCACAAAGTCTCTTTTATGCTACCCTCTTATAGTCACACCCATCTCACTCCTACATCATACCAAAACCATGATACCCACCTTTTTTTTAAGTAATATTCAAAGATCCTGACCACTTCATCTGTAAATACTTCAGCATGTATTTCCTAAAGAGTAAGATATTTTCTTGGGGCTGGCCCCGTGGCTTAGTGGTTAAGTGTGCGTGCTCCGCTACTGGCGGCCCGGGTTCGGATCCCAGGCACACACCAACACACCACTTGTCCGGCCATGCTGAGGTGGCGTCCCACATACAATAACTAGAAGGATGTGCAACTATGACATACAACTATCTACTAGGGCTTTGGGGAGAAAAAGGGAAAAAAAGGAGGAGGATTGGCAATAGATGCTAGCTTAGGGCCGGTCTTCCTCAGCAAAAAGGAGGATTGGCATGGATGTTAGCTCAGGGTTGATCTTCCTCACACACACACAAAAAAAAGATATTTTCTTTTTTTTTTTTTTTAAGATTTTATTTGTTTATTTTTTTCCCCCCAAAGCCCCAGTAGATAGTTGTATGTCATAGCTGCACATCCTTCTAGTTGCTGTATGTGGGATGCGGCCTCAGCATGGCCGGAGAAGCAGTGCGTGCCCAGGATCCGAACCCGGGCCGCTAGCAGCGGAGCGCGCGCACTTAACCGCTAAGCCACAGGGCCGGCCCAAAAAGATATTTTCTTATGTAGCTACAATGCAATTATTGAATTCAGAAAGCTTAACTTTGTTATTACTGTTGTCTAATAAAGAGTGCATATTCAATTTTTCCCATTGTCCCAGACTATCCACTTTATAACAATTGTTCTGCCTATCTAGAATCAAAGCTAAGATCATAAATTTCTTTTAGTTGTTTCTGCAGTTCCCCTATATTTTTTTTCAGTGCCATTGTTGTTTATGTAGAGTTTAAGAACATTGTCTTGTTGAATGTTCCATGGTTTGCATTTTAGTGATTGTTTCTCTGTGATTAGATTTGGGTTAAAAAAAAATTTTTTTTTCTTTTTGGCAGAAATACTTCATAGGTGATGTTTTTCTTCCCATTGTAGGCCATTAACTTGTCCCTTCATTGATCAGGAGGTATTCTCTAGATCTCTTCATTGTAAAGGCAGTATTTTTTCTCTCTACAAATAAAATATAATTCTTAGAGTGATATTTTTGAGATTGTGTGAATATATTATTACCCAGAAAATTATACCTAATAGTTTTTGCAGTTATTGATGATTCTTGCCTGAGTTAATTATTGTAGTGTGATTGCAAGTCTAGGAAATTTTGAAATTAAAAATTTTTCTCACCCACAGGAATGATTGCTTGCTTGGACCTGTGGCTACTTTTTCGAATAAGACAGTTATTAATCTTAAATTTGGGTGGGCCAATCTGTGATAGAGCTACAAGCAGTGAATTCTTCTTGCTCTTCAAGTTAAGGGACAGGGGACTAGACTTGAGTGGCTGTCATCAGCATGCTGGGCCAGTGAAACCTAGAGCTGGTCAATCTGTGAGGTCTGGGGGCGGATATCCACTTCTCACTGGGTCTTGATCTTGAGGCAGGCCTTGCTAAAGGAAGCATTCTTATCCACACTTTTGTTCTCGGCTCAATGGAGTTTGTGACAGCCCTGGTACACCTCCAGGAGTCTAGCTGCCCCATCCATCTAGAGTACTTGAAAGACCCAGTAACCATCAACTGTGGGCACAACTTCTGTCACTCCTGCATCAACATGACTTGGAACGATCTAGATGATATCTTCCCCTGTCCTGTCTGCCGTTTTTGCTTTCGTGACAAGAACTTCAGGAGCAACCCTCAACTCAGTAATCTGACTGAAATTGCTAAGCTCCTGCAGATCAGAAGAAGCAAAAGAAAGAAGAAAGAAGAGAATTCTGTATGTGAGAAGCACAATCAACTTCTGACCCTTTTTTGTGGGAAGGACCTAGAGGTTTTATGTACACAGTGCAGTTTCTCCATTCAACACCAAAAATACTACATTTGCTCCATTGAGAAAGCTGCATCTTATCACAGGAAAATTCTGGAATGTAGCCTTGAGCCCATGAAGGATAATTTAAAACGACTTGAAAAAGTGATAACTCTGCAAGCTAGCAAATCAGTGGAGCTGAAAAAGAAGGTAGAATATAGAAGAGAAGAAATCAATTCTGAATTTGAACAACTTAGACTATTTGTACAGAGTCAGCAAGAGGCTCTTCTTAGGCAGATGGAAGATGAAGAGATGGACATTTTAACAAAACTCAATGAAAACTTTATAACATGGTCAGGTCATGTCTCCAAATTAAAACATCGATTGAGGGAGGTAGAGGGCAAGTGTGTGCAGTCAGAACTGGAATTACTGATGCATGTTAAGAATATCCACCATAGATATCAAAACCTAAAAGACCCTGAACTCTTTTCATTCCAATTAAAGAAATATGGATTTAGCCTTCCTCCACAATATTCTGGCTTGGACAGAATTATCAAGCCATTTCAAGCAGATGTGATTCTAGATCTTGAAATGGCACATCCTCGGCTTATTGTCTCTGAGGACAGAAAAATTGTGCAGTATGGAAAGAGAAAACAAAACCTTTGTTATAACCCGAGGAGATTTTCTCTCTGCCCTTCTGTCCTGGGTTGTAACAGATTTAGTTCTGGCAGGCATTACTGGGAGGTAGAAGTGGGAAACAAGCCTAAATGGACACTGGGGGTGTGTTGAGAGTGTTTTCCTAGGAACTGGCAGAATCAGCCAGTAGTTGAGGGTAGATTCTGGGCAATTGGGCTATATGGTGAGAGCGTCTATGCTGTGTTGGGTCCTAAGAGAACCCAGCTCCTGCCCATAGTAAGACCCAGTAAGATTGGCATTTTTTTGGACTATGAGTTGGGTGAGGTTTCCTTTTATAATATGAACCATAGATCTCTTCTCTATACTTTTAACAATTCTTTTACAGAAGCCATTTGCCCCTATTTCTATATTGGAATAGATTCTAAACCTCTTACAATCTCTTCAGTGATAGATGATGAAAGATGAAGTACTTGGGAAAAAACACTGTTTAGGGGTAACTTAGCCAGTAAATTTAGTCTCAGTAATTCTAGATTCTTTTTAAGGTTTACTGCTGGAAAACCAGAATAGATTTTTCTCCTTCATTTTCAGCAACTATAAAAACATGGTAGTGATGCCAGTTTCATAGATTTTATGGGTATCAATTGTCAAGTGCTTTGAATTTCTAAGACAAAGTATTTGGGTATTATATTACTTAACACATCCAATGAAATATTTTCTGTTGAAATCGCCTATAAATTGTCTTTTAATTATAGTCACTATTTTACAATTATATAAGTTGTTAACAGTCATCCTTACCTCATATCTACTTTTCTCTTCAATGAATTCTGCTGTTTACCTCCATAATTCTTTATATATATATATATTTGTGTGTGTGTGTGTGTGTGTGAGGAAGATCAGCCCTGAGCTAACATCCATGCCAATCCTCCTCATTTTGCTGAGGAAGACTGGCTCTGGGCTAACATCTGTGCCTATCTTCCTCCACTTTATATGGGATGCCGCCGCAGCATGGCCTGATAAGCGGTGTGTTGGTGCGCTCCCAGGATCTGAAACCGGGCCGCCGGCAGCGGAGCGCATGCACTTAACCACTATGCCACGGGGCTGGCCCATCCTCTGTAATTCTTAATATCACGTTCTACTGTTCTCTCTTTATTATGTCTTTTATCAGTTGGCACAATTGACTGATTACTGTGGATAATGGGGATTTTACCTTTTCCCTTTCCCTACACACATTTATAGATAATCTAATAGTTTTTTTTCCTTGTGAACATAGTTCTGGATCTCATGTTCCAATCTGGACAAGCTAGCCTATGGGTATATAATTGTTATCTCTCCTCACTATCCTGAGAATTGTCTTCTGCTGTTGGATTCCTTGTTGGTTTAATTCCATGTTTCCTGCTTGTCTTATCTTTTCACTTTGGAGTGACATCACCTCAAATGTTACGATGTTTTAAAATTTGGGGGATTTTGCATGTTTCAAAATGATTTTATCCTACCCATGTTTAGATGACATTTAAGCCAGTCATTCCCTAATTTTCAAAACATGCTATTGTTTTTGAAAAGTCTAATACTAATCTGATTCTTGATACTTTGGATATTTTATGATATTTTATGATCTTTTAAAGATTTATGATATTTTAAAGATTTTAAAATGATATTTTATGATATTTTTAAGATTTTTATTCCTAGTGTTTTGAACTTTGTTCATTTATTTGGCTGAGCGGTAAAATATTATATTTGTCAGGATTCTCACAGACAAACAGAGAAACAGAACCAATGGGATGTGTGTTTTTAGAGAAAGAGATTTGTTTTAAGGAATTGGCTCAAACGATTATGGAGACTGACGAGTCTAAAATCTGCATGGTGCCAGCAGCCTAGGGACCCAAGGAAGATTCCATGCTGCAGTTCAAGCCCAAAGGTCTTCATCCTCTGGCGGAACTCTCTCTTGCTCATGGTAGGTCCTGCTTTTGTTCTATTCCAGCCTTCAACAGATTGGATGAGGCTCTCCCACATTGTGGAGGGCAATCTGCTTTACTTAATAAAAAGTCCACCAATTCAAGTGTTAATATTGAAAAACACCCTTGGAGAAACATCCAGAATAATGTTTGACCACATATCTGAGCACCAAGGCCCAGCAAAGTTGACATATCAAATTAACAATCACAGATACCGTCAATCTGAAGTTGTACCAGGTGAGCAAAGCCAAGATTCCTGTCCTTGAGCAGCATACTTTCTAGAGTGGAGAAAAAAGACAATCAAGTAATAAACATAACTGATACAGCAAGTAAGAGGCTGAAAAAGAGCTATGGGAACAGGGAAAAGTAGATCAATGTCAAGGGCGTGGGAGTACTGTGGGTGGGGAGGTTTAGCTGTGTGAAGTGGGAATGTCAGGGTAGGCATCGTAGGGAACGTGGAATCTGAGCAAAACTTAGGATGAGGGAGGGGCCAGCCCGGTGGCACAGCAGTTAAGTGCCCGTGCTCCACTTCAGCGGCCGGGGGTTCACAGGTTTGGATCCCCGACACGCACCGACGCCCCGCTTGTCAAGCCACGCTGTGGCGGCGTCCCATATAAAGTAGAGGAAGATGGGCACGGATGTTAGCCCAGGGCCAGTCTTCCTCAGCAAAAAAGAGGAGGATTGGCATCGGATGTTAGCTCAGGGCTGATCTTCCTCACACACAAAAAAAAAAACTTTGGATGAGGGAATAGCAGTGGTGGAGCATTGCAAAGTAAACGGCTGGAGCAAATGTTCTAGCCGTTCCACAGGAAAGGGACTGACAAGCGAGGGACAGCAAGGAAGCCCGAAGTGGAGTGGAGTCAGTGAAGGGAAAATAGTAAGAGTGGAGTCAGAGAGGTGGATGTAGGGGAGAGGGAGGAAGAGTCAGCTTTTTTTATAGGGTCAAATAGGCCATTTTAGGTATTTTAATCTGAAATGGGAGTCCTTAGAGGCTTTTGAGGGAAAGAGTAACTTTATCCAACTTTCTAGTTAAAGAATCTCTGCCCTCCAGCCACACTGGCCAACTTGTTCTTCCTGGAACATACTAGGTGTACTAACCTTTGTTAATATTCTTCTTTAAGAATTTTATATATGGTATTTTGAAGTTGTATTTTGCTTCCAATATTTACTCCTCCAAGCTCCTTCCTCCTGTTTATTTAGTCTCTGTCTTTCATGTTAGGCTTTTATAAATGGCTCATAAATGTTGGCTGTTCATAATTGAGTGAGGTACTAGAAAGACTTTTAGAAACTGCATACTTTTTTGTGTTTTAAAATTTTTGAATAGCATACATTATCAAAAGCATAATTGTTGAATTGTTTGGTTTACACCTATATAAGTTGAACATTTTGATATATATTTCTACTTGTCCCACCCCTAGAAGAGTCAAACTGTTTATACTTCCAATAATGGTAGGTGAGGGTTATCTTTGCCCGTCTGATAGGCAATATGGTAATTCATTGTGGAATTGCATTTGTTAAAATTACTAGTGAGTATGAATATCTTCAAGTTCCCTTCTATTCCCTTTATTGATGTTTTTCATATTTGTGTAAATTTTTATCTACTATCCTTATGTAATCTGTATACTCACCCTATATATATGTACATACTACATATATAAACATACACAAACACAAATTATGGATGTATACATCATGTAAAATATATATATGGCAATCAACGATATGTTGCTAATTTTTCCACTGTTGAAATAGCTTTTTCTTTTTAACCTTTTTCATGGTGCTTCTTGCTATAGAGAAGTCTTTCATATTTATATTGACCTGCCAATCATTTGTAATTGCTTCTTTTGGATCACATTTTAATTTGCAAATTTTTGTTTAAAATTTTCCCAACATTTTATCAAACTTTTCTGAAGTTTAATATTTCAATAGTAATATAGGCTTTCCACTAAAAGATTGTATATTTAACAACATATAACAGAAATATAACTCCCTTATAATCTCTATCTTATTGACCCATGATTGACAGTTGTGTAAATATTCTTTTGGATTTTTTCCTGTTATACACATAAGATTTATTTTTATCTTCTTTGAAAAACCTCTTTTGTGTGTATTGTATTGCAATTTTAAGATAGCTAACTGTATCTTTCTTTTCCTTTATGCTGTTTCTTTTATGAGTTTAGAGTCTTCTATGAGTCATTCTCCCACGCAAAGGTGGTTAATATAGTCTCCTATGTTGACTTCAAAATGTTTTATAGTTTAGTCTTCTATCTTTAAATGTAAATGAATTGATTTTTGTTTGCAGCCGTAAGATGGAGTCCATCTGGATAACCAGTTGTCCCAGAACCATTTATTGAACAGTTCATTTCTCACTCTGATCTGCAAGTGGGCAGTATCATACAGCCAGTTTCTGTATATTTGTCATTCTGTGTCTGCATTCATTTTTGTGGGCCTTTATTCTGTTCTATCCCTGCACCAGAACAACACCGTCATAATTACTATGTTGATGTCTGGTAAGATACGTCTCAACTTTGTTCCTCTTCTTCAGAAGTGCCATGACTTTTTTGTGCTTTGTTCTTCCATAACAATTTTAGGATCAGCTTGTCTTAATTCTGTTAAAATAGTGTCCTTGGGGATTTTATTTGAGATTACATTGAAGCTGTAATCCAAATTGGAGAGAGTTGACACCTTTACTCTATTGAGTCTTCCAATCCATGGTGTACTTTTACATTTGTAAAGGTCTTCTTCAATCTTTCCCTAAATGTTTATGATCTTCTTCACAATACTCTCACATATTCATTTTCACACTTATTCTTAGCTATTTAACATTTTTGATGCAGTTGTAAAAGGTTCACTTTAAACAGTGTATTTTTCTGTAAGTCACTCACATATAGATATACATAAAAATATATTTATTGATTTTATTATACAATAATCTTGCTAAAATTCCTTCAAGACTTTATAATTTCTCTGTGAGTTATAATTTATTCTTGTGAGTTTTCTAAAAGACAATCATGTCTTTTGCAGATAATGACAGTTTTATTTCTTCCGTTCAATGCTTAAGCCTTTTTTAGCATCACCTTACTGAGCTGGCTAGAACCTCTGGTGGTGACTTTACAGTTGAGCTCTCAGGCTGTCACCACCCTAACCCGCTGATCAATCACAGCATCACTAAAGGGAGCAACTAGACATTATGTGTACACTTATTTTGTTTTTTGAACTATACTGCATCACCTATGAAGTATTCCTGTCACAAAAGTGGAATCTGAATTCAGCAAACCTTTGTAGCTCTCTTTTCAGTTTACAGCAAGTACACAGAGTATGAGGAGGAATAAGCTAAATGACACTATGAGAAAACAACACAATTATGTGGAAATTATACAGGGGAATGACCTAGTCACTTAAGTCAATGACATTTTTAAAAAAAACAAAAACAAAACAAGAGGACAGTTGGAACTGAACATTTCTAAATGTGAAGCCTGGAACTTCCTTGGATTGTAACTTGAACAAACCAAA